CTGAAATTGTACGAATCGCCACGTAGATTCTACGATTTGTTCTGTAAAAATTAAACACCTGTCTGATGACTCACCGCTGTGGGGACAACAAGTCGTTCCGTAATTTTTCCCCAACGATTGAGAAATTTTACGGAACGGAACGTAGAAATAACTCAGCATACGGAGAGAAATTTTCTAGAAAAATTCTAGTACGAGTACTGGAAAAAATCACAATCCACCAGCTGTGAAAAATTCTAGTGCTGTTAAGGTAAAATCTCTTGGTATTTCTGGTAAAATTTCTGGGGATTTCTGTGAAATTTTCACAGAAATACGGGGGAAAATTCGCGTTTTCCCCAATAAAATTTCTAGTGCTGGCAGTGGAATTTTTTCCTAGCCGTCACTTTGCGCCTCTTTTGCCGTGCTAGCACTAGAATTTTTCTAAAAAATTTCTCTCCGTGCAGCTTCATAAAAATTGTTGAACGTTTAAGACTTTTTGATTTTGGAGGCATAATAAGTCGGAAAGTTTATATAAGATTTTACTTCTTCGGGGAAAATTACGTGACAATTTCGTACTTTGTTCGGTGGTAAACCTGAGAATTCACTGAACGTTTCAGATTTCTTCTCTTCTATTCCTATAAAAATTGCCGGAAAACGATTCCCCATTGCGAATTATGTGAATTGTTCCGTAATTTTTACTGAATATTCCTCTCCGTGTAATGAAAGAGTATCTGCTTGTGGAAGATATTTTCGGAATCGTTCCGGAAAACAACTCATCTATAGATGCGAAAATTATCCTCCTTTACACCGAGAGATAAAACTATTTTTGACAAGGAAGGTTGATACATAGAAAACATTTCCTTGTCAATTAAAAAATGGTGATATCTCCTGATAAATAATTTCGGTCTCAGACTGAGAAAATTTTTTCCAACGGGATGAGATTCTCTTGTCCCGAGCGAATTTGTAGCGTTCTCAATAAAAATTTCGAAATGATGCCCTTCTCATAAATTTATGTAGTTTGCGTTATATCTAGAATTTTTTTTTCATCAGGACTTTCATTACATAAAATTTTGCACAAAAAGCGCAAGACTTGAGATCAATGTTTTACACGGAGAGAAATATTGAATAAAATTACGATATCGTCACTTCAATTTTCTAAGTCGATCTAACTCTCCGTGTATACACTTGAATTGATAATGAAAGTGTTCGTCGTGCAATTCGTCGCGCCTTCTGAAGGTCATGGGGACGAATGAAAGTGAAATTTTACCGAACGCGTCCAGAAAAATAAAGAAAACAGTTAATTTCAGTCCAAAAATACGACTTTCTCGAAGCTGCCGCTCGTTTACGAAAGGAAATGAAAGCGAAAAAATGTCGGTTCAACGATAATATCCACCCGAAACGCTGTAAAAAAGGAAAATACTATATGATTGAGGCCATCTTTACCGTCTTCTCGGTTTTTACGTTCATCCACTAAAATGCAACCCTTTAACAAAATATTTTTTTTACAACTCTTCCACCCCCGACACGCTTTATATTATCATCCACCACCGGCTTTGTGCCTCCCCAGATAACCGTAAAACCGTAATTATGCGCTACCTGTTGGTATTTTGTTTCTCCCCGTTGTTGAAACAATTTCTTTTCACGCGTGTTGAAAAATTATTCAGCAAGAAGAAACGAAACCTCATCTCACCCTTCTTTTAACCCAGGAAATAAATTGAAATAGCGAATGGAAGTTGGTGACAAAGTTGAGGGGAATATTTCATGAGGAAATTTCTCAAGTCCTTTATCGAGCCAATGGAAAAATATTATTAACTGTTATTAAGATGTACAGCCACCATTGGCGGAAGTTTTGTGTCACGGGGTTGGGGCCAACCTGGAGGGGAAAAAATGTATCGCTTAGTCCGGGGTCGCTGGTCTGCGCGTGGATCGATGTTAACGATTTTTCTCTGATGCTTTAAATTTTCCACACCCACATTCTCCCAGCTTTGTCGAGTAAACTCTGAATCCCCCGTCCATGTGCGAAAGATAAAACAGGGCAGGGAGCGCACCAACCCCTCTCTCCCACTCGTGGATATAAACCTGAAATGCGTGCTTCATCTTGGCTTTTTTATTCCATCATACTTTCTCCTTTTTATTATTATTATTCCAGCCTGGTGGCTAATGTCAAAATTTATATTTACGTAATTAAACCGAACGAAAGCTCCGGAACAAACCCCTCACTCTGTTTGGGTTTTAATACACGTGTAAAAACTAAAATTTAATAAAGAAGACAATGTAGACCTCGATAAACAGTTAATGATCTCGTTATTTTTCCGGTTTATATTCTTTCATTTTCCTGTTTGTCGTTCGAATGCTATCAAATGAACAAATTTATATATCCCCCGGAATATGGATATCCGAAAATCGTTTCGTACTAGCCGGCAATAAATGTTTCCATCTACTGTTAGAATTGGTATTTCGCCAATCTGTACCGAATGCATCAGCTTTACACGACAATAGATCTCGTAAACTATATACAGGGTATTCGGAAAAAAATGATTTGTCGGTTTCATACGTGTGTACACTGTGAGAGTGAATAAAAAAATGGAGTATCGAATTGTGTCTAGAGGGAATAGCGGGTAAGGACCACTGAATTCAGCAAAATATTTTTTTTTCAATAATAAAAGCAGACGAGTCGTAAAATTGGTTTGAAAGGTTTTGCAGAATTTCTAATTTGAGGTCCTTCGATGGAGTAAACTAAGCAAGATGAAATATTTCATTAATTCAATAAAATATGCACTGATAGAAAAGGTGAAAAGATTCAGTTGCACCAAACGAGGCTTCTTGACTGTTACCGCGATTCGTTAATAGTTAACAAATCGTGGTAATAGTTAAAAAGTTTCGTTTGGTTCGACTAAACCGTTCTATCAGTGTGGAATTCAATTCAATTACATATCCTTTTACATGGCAATTTCTTTTTGTTTTCTTAACCGTTCTAAATATTTTTTTTATTTCGTTAATCTGTACTGAATGCATCAGCGTTACAGTAGATCTCGTAAACTGTACACGGGGTATTTGGAAAAAATATGATTTATCGGAAAAAATAGAGTACCGAATTGTGTCTAGAAAAAATTGCGAGGAAGGACCACTAAATTGAACAAAATATTTTGTTTTCAATAATAAAAGCAGACGAGTCGTAAAATTGGTTTGAAAGGTTTTCCAGAATTTCCAACATCCTTCGCTTGTCAAAATGAAAAAAGACGAAATATATTTCATTGATTCAATAAAATATGGAGTTGAGTAGACAATTCAATTTCATGTTCGTATAAAGTTTCGTTTTTTTGGTTTTTAGCCATTCTAAATGATGATTTCTAAATAATTTTTTCATTTCGTCAATCTGTAGTGAATGCATCAGCGTTACAATAGATCTCGTAAACTGCACACGGAGTATTTGGAAAAAATATGATTTATCGGTTGCATACGTGTGTATACACTGGGAGAATTAATAAAAAATGGAATATCAAATTGTGTCTAGAGGGCAATGCGGGGAAGGGCCACTGAATGCAACAATATATTTTTTTCAGTGATAAAAACAAAGGAGTCATAAAATTGGTTTGAAAGGTTTTTCCACAATTTCTTCATAAAATTCTTCGTTTGGTAAAAAAAACATAAAAATAACGCTGTAAAAGAAGATGAAATATTTCATTAATTCAATAAAATATGGAATTGAATAACCAATTCAATGTTATAGTTTTTGTTCTTTTAACCGTTCTGAATGATATCTTCTAAATAATGTTTTCATTTCGTCAATCTGTAGTGAATGCAGTAGCGTTGCACGACAATAGATCTCGTGAACTGTATATGGGGTATTCATAAAAAATATGATTTATCGGTTTCATACGTGTCGATACAGCGAGAGTGAATAAAAAAAAGAGAACCGAAATGTGTCTAGGGGGAATTGTGTTTAGGGATTATTTTTCAATAATAAAAACAAAAGCGTCATAAAATCGGTTTGAAAAGTTTCTCCAGTATTTCCAATATGAAATCCAATTAAAGTTTTGATTTGCATCAAGGAAACATTCGTTTATATTTACAAAAACTGTTTATTTCATCTGAATAAAAATCAAGTTCAAGTTTAAATCGAGGGGCTACTTACTCTCGAAATCACGGTGCCACTTTGGCATGAAATCATTTCGAAATCATTCCGAAATCACATGAAATCACCGAAATCACTGAAATCAAGTGATTTCAGCTCTCCGAAATCATTTTCGAAATCACGTGAAATCGTCTGAAATCAATGGAATCACCGAAATCAGTGGCGCACTGCCGTAGTACCACCCGTGCAAGCAATTCATGATTTTGAAATTGACACGCCTGCCAACGATGATAATAAAATGCCGTACTCACTGCCATAGTAAAATTGTCTTTAGCTCAAGATTGGCGGAGTGGAATCAAATGAATTCGTTATTTTCCCGTTATTACTGCCACTTTTGATTTTCGTAATTTGACACGACCCATTTTGCACCACCTCTATTATTTATTAACTTTTTTTTTCTGAAATCAGTGATTTCGAATTACTGAAATCATAAAAGAATTAATTAATGAAATGAATTAATGATGAATAATGATGAATTAATTTCGAATTAATGAAGTCTTTTTTAATGAAATCACGAGAGGTACTTTCATGATTTCGAATTATTGAAATCATTCGAAATCATGAAAGTACCTCTCGTGACGCTCAAAATCACTGAAATCACCCGAAATCGAATTCATTTCGAAATCATGACGTCACTCAATTATGGAGTGAGTAGCCCCTCGGTTTAAATAGAAGTTATATCAGGAGCTATTTGAATGGACCGATGCATTTTATTAAAATGATATATTAGTCAATTATATTCAAATAAACCATTTCTCTGAGTATGCAGTGATGCAGAATGCGAAATAGTCAGACCCCAGGAATTACCTAATAATAAACTCCATTGAAACAATGAACGAGGCATGTCTCTCAGCACAGGAGTCTCAAATTTTCATTCATTATTCGACAGAACGGTCGTGCCAGCAGTGAGAGCAGTGAAGACGGTGCGGGGAGTAGTGCGAGTATGTCAAGAGGAGCTGGCAGTAGTTACGGATGTGCTGGTGGCTGGCGCAGTGTCTTTGGTGCCGTTTCTGGACGTGAATTGAGGCTGTACGAGTGTGCACCGTGGAGCCCAGAGGCATGGGCGTCACCAAGTATCACGTGTCCACTCATCGCAACCAGGTGAGAAATTTTCTTTTAACCCATTTTTCCCCGATTTTATTTCCTCTTTTACTCTTCGCCCATAATTAAAAAAACAATAGTTGAAGCGCCCGGGGCGGGATACCGTTCCTTTGACCATACCCCCTCATAGTGTTTGGCATGCTCTAGAGTCAACTCTCTCTGGGCTGTATGGAGAGTAAAAATAATCGGTTCTCAGGACTGGAAAAATCCATCGTAAAGATTGTGGCAAATTTCATTATTCCATTGCAAATGAGAATTTTTGAAATATTTAACAGCAACTGATTGCAGTGTTGGATATTTTGGCTGATATTTGAGATATTCTCTTTGGATGTTGTTATCAAGTGATAGTTTCTCGGAATTTTCAAGGAATTTCGATAATGGGAATTCATCTTTCGATGGAGAAAATCAATGGAAACGTCAAATGGCACTTTAATTATTGCAAATAAATATATTCTCTCAATTCATTGAAAATTTCGTGGCATTTTTTACTATTTATTCATTCTTTCATTTAAAATTCAAGTAAGTATTTTTTTAGATTTTCAGAGAAATTAGAAAGTTCGTGCTTTTTTCTCCCATAAATAGAATTCAATGTTGCTGACCTTCAAAATTATTACTAAAGCCTCCAGGAAATTTTAGTTTTTGTCTAAAAATGTTGTATAAAATTTTAATGGATTTGATTAATAAACAAACAACCAATTCCATGAAAATTGACGGAATATTCTAATGTCAAATCCACGTAATAATGGCAATTTGTAAACATTATGAAAATTCAAGCAATTATTACCTTATTCACCATTGAATTCACTCATGAATTGGCAGCCATGAATTAAATTGTCAAAAAAACCGTTAACAATGTCCATCGGAATGTGAACAATGTGCCCCATTCCCCCGAACATCGCAATTTATCCAGATATCCACCTATGACAATCCTCCCGCCCTCCCTTAGCACTATCCCCGACACGTACGAAATTAATTTTTTTCAGTGGATTTCGGTGCTCAAGGACCACTCAATTTCATGAACATTCACGGAGTATTTAAATTTCCAGTCAATGTAATGATGGTCGCACTAAAACTTAAAAATTGAAGCAACTATAGCCCGAGATTTTTATTTTATTTACAACTGAATTCGCTCATTGAATAAATTCAGCAAATGATCCAAAAATTTCAAATAAAAATTTCTTAAAAGCCAATACGCTATCCACGAATGCTAAAATTGGGGAGTAATGTTCAATTTTCAACAGATTTTTGCCACCCGACGTGTTCAACATAATCAACATAACCCGAAAACTCACGATTAATCCGAACGCAAATCCAATCAAGTTCGCAACACAAAAAATTGCCAAGCAGCCATGAATAAAATTGTCAAAAAAACCGTTAACAATGTCCATCGGAATGTGAACAATGTGCTCCATTCCCCCGAATATCGCAATTTATCCAGATATCCACCTATGACGATCGTCCAGCGCTCCCTTAGCATTATCCCCGACACACGTAAAACGTGTTTCGCACGCGTCCAACAGATTTCCACATTGGACACCCTCTGCGTTGGCACTCGTATGTGGGGTACGAGTTGTACATCGGATTACCAATGAGGCGGCAGAGTGGCGCGGGTTGCCGAGGGTACGCAGTGCGCCTCTCTCAGCTGTCCGACCCCTTCCTCCCATCCTCCCCTCCCCCCCCCTTCATCACCCGTTGGATTACGGCAGTTAGCGATGTTCGTTAGACCGCCATTTTAATTAAGACTATTACATCCACGTAGACATTAGTAAACGCAGTGCGGATACCAACAGCGATTACGTGCACAGACATTCTAATCTCCCCGTGGATGTACAGCTCTCATTTGTTGTCGTTATACACCCCGTCCTAAAATATTGCATGTGAACGTTTCATTTTACTTCTCCCCCTCCCCTTGGAACGTAGTAAAGCATAATGAACGTGTGGATTTTTTGCTCATTTTTTCTTTTTATGTTCAACCTGTTAAAATTAAGAATATGAAGAGAAATTACAAGGTGAGGGAACTCGGAATATGGATAACATTTTACATACACTAGTAGGGAAAATTGAAATTTCAAATTTCACTGGAATTTCAATGGTTCTGAGGAAAGGGAAGATGACAATTCCTCGCGTTGGATTCGAGTTTTCAATCAATTTGGCATTCTCCAGGAATTTTTTGGTTTCCGTTCATTTTTATGGAATAACGGAGTTGATTTTTATGGATTCCATTCATTTATGTATGAAATTGTGAATAATTTCTATCAATTTTCATGGAATTGAACTGATATTTATAGATTCCATTGATTTATCCATCAAATTGTGAGTTTTGAATGAGGTAATCCTTTGAAATGTTTCAATTCTATTTTTTAAGTGCATAATTGGAGTGCATGGGAAATAGTGGTATTGGAAATTAGTGTACAATACTAGGCAAGTGTTGAATGGTGACAATTCAGCAGAAAATTGAAAAATCAGGTTATTTTGATTCTGAATAATCATCTTCAATGCACAGAGAGAAATTTTTGAAAACAATTATCCTACCGTTCTGTAAAAGTATATTAGGAGTCATCGTTTCCTCATTTCTATCCCGAAATTTATTAAAAATTAATATATGATGATAAAATTGTATTCTACGTTAGAGAAATTTTCTCCTGATAAAAATAAAAATTACCGTGCCGGTAGAGTAAAAATTACTGTACCGGTAGGGTAAAATTTACCAAGCGTTCTAGAATTTTCATTGTTATCTACATAAAAATTATTGGACTCGAAGGATAAAACTTACTATGCGTCAGGATAAAATTTCTCTAACGTAGAATAAAAGTTGATCATCATATATTAATTTTGACTAAATTTCAGGATAGAAATGAGGAAACGATGACTCATGATACACATTTATAAAACGGTAGGATAATTTTTATCAAAAATTTCTCTCCGTGTAAAAAATGAAAGTCACTCGTGAAGTTTTCATTCAACTTCTACTAAAAACTTATGAATTCTCTTGAATGTCACAAACATTTTTCTCTCTCACAAAAATTGCTGCCAAATTGTCCAAGAAATTTCAATTTTCTCTAAGAAAATCTCCTATAATGTCACCCACACCGCCCTGGAGAATATAATTTTCCTAGCAATAACCCATAACAATGCACCTTCAACCCTATTTTTTGTTACACAAACCCCTCATTTCCCCGAGTGCAACCACCCATTTACACCACAATGTCCGCGGTACCTCCAAGAGAACCAAATAAATCCTAAGTACAATAAGACCCGAGGTTCTTCTCGTCAATCGTATGGAGACGAAATCAATAAAGTGTCCCCCGGAGCCGGTATCAACAAAGGAATCAATGAAAAGCCGTTGCATTTATTCCTCTGTCAGAAGCGTTAAATCCATCGCCTCAATGTCCATTGGCAAACCCTCCCCGCCTTTCTCTACCCGCTATTACCATCGTCACAATGCCCCATCGTTCCATTCCTCCCCATATGGATCGTAGTAATGAGACTTAACACATTGAATTCCGCAATGGCAGGCTCAAATTGTTCAATATCCCGAGTCGAGGATTTGGTTCTGATTGGACGTACACAGGTCTTTCAAGATCTCTCCAGACCTAGATGGACCTGGTAAGTCCTAATCAGTTCTGCGACGTACTTTTCCAGAGACCATTCGAATCCTCAGTTCTTTTCGGTCCTGAGAAGTCCTCCTCGATGCTACCGAGAACGCGTGATTTTACGAGCGGGTGAAGGGGAAGGCATGTATGCGGAGGGTTGAAATTTGTAGCCAACGAGGAGACAGGGTTGCAGAATATATTTTAGCCACCCTCATCTCCCCGTTTGCAGGCGGTGTTTAAATAAAAAA